AATAATTTCGAGACGAATAAAAGTGTCACTGACCATTAATTCCTCCCTTTTGAAATAGTCTGGAAATGATGAGGACTCATAAAAGGCTTTTCATGGGATGGAGGGATAACAAGAAAATTTTTATACAAATAGCTCAATTTTATCAGGGCAGCACCTAAAGAACGGGCAAAGTTTTTTCCCTCTTAAAACCTCATTTGAAGGAAAAATGAAGGGAATAACGACACACAATGTTCCCCATATCAGGTTGTGTCTGAACAAGTCACTAGGGGGCAACGTAACACGATCAGATACATAATTCATTTCACCAGGATGTACTAAAGTCCAGAATTCAAAGTAGTAGTTTGTTCAGTTTTAAGAATTTGGAGCAGGACTAACAAAGTACCCGCGTTATCACATCATGTTGATGAAAAGCTGGTGGGTTTCTGCCACAGCTAACTGCTGTATGTCTCAAGGTAGCGTGAAATGCATGACAATTTTCACGGGCATGACAGGGAATAGAAATGTCAGCACATCGGTGCGACCCTCATTGTTATATGCTCCGCTGCCTCCTCTTAAACTTCACCCTTGGACAGCACGACATTGACTGAAATTCGTGCATAGACTCTAATATTCTCTGCTTCACAAACAAAAGTAACTTGAATCAGAATTTGCAGAAGCTCCTTAAAGCATTTGTCCAGCATTTGTCGGGAGCGCATTGGCAGAACGTAGTGATCAAAAATGATGCAAACGAATAATTTAGCCCTATTTATGAATCGTTGTGAAAAAAAAAAAACTAAGACCACAGCTAGATTCATTTGTAGCCCCAGACCCGGGAAATCTGGCAAAAGCAAAATTCACAACTGCTCTGCGTCCAGCGAATATCCCATCACGCTCAATGCAATTTTTAACCTATAGTGTGATAAATCACACAACCTCGTCTTCGTGATTTTCATCCAGAAATTATTAATTAAAATATATCGTAGAAAGGGGCTCCTCCAAATGAATCATCCAATTGCCATTTTTACACATCTTGTAATTAGTCTTTTTTGCAGACCGTGTTCGCACACTACTGGGGTATCGGTAACCAAACCTTTAAGCAAGATTCTGCTACGCGAAATTTCATCGCAAAACTACTCTGAACACAACCAAATAAGAGTCAAACAAATTTAACCCTTTGAGATAATGCGGCCGTTCTATTTATGGAACCTTAGGACACGCAAACTCGGTCACAAGTGTGCTGATGTTAATAGGCTACGTTTCAATTTCGATACAACTTTTCTCTCCGCGGATAAGCTAACGAACTGACCTAAGGAAAGCCATCTCCTTTCGAAAAAAGACTTTCGCAACATTATAAATTTATAGTAAGGCAGGTGATAAAAGTACGAACTTCCATTAAGGAGGCAAATGATTTGCAACTCACGTATTCGATTGTGCCGTGAGTGGAATACCGGACTGTTATTCTAAAAGGGATCAAAATGGAGTTTAGAGCATGGTATCGAAACTGAAATCAACTATAACAACTGGGTTATAGACACTGTTGTGCCCATGATTAAAGGGCGTTCTAGGTCACTCGACACATGTGACAAGGAAGTTACTTTGATGTCGAAACGCCTCCCATTTTTATATGCTATTTTTAGGTGCGATTCTCATGAAAAAATTTTAGACCGCCTTAATGTAGCTATTCAAATTTCAGTGAATCAAGACGGTTAGTCTTTGCCATAATCATACAAACGCTTCCCTAAAGCATACCACGTACATTCAAAGTCAGAGTAATTCTTGAGGTTTTAATCATTTCAATATAAGCTCTTATGAAAACGGTTCACACCGACTTCAAGAAGGCACAACGCACAGTGGCCAGTAGCTTTTGACAACCGTCTTTGCCGACCACTGGAGTGAAGAAATTTTTTGAGTTCTATAATAATGAAATTGGTGTGGGATGTACTCAAAAGTTTATCGAAAGGTAATTAAAGTTCTATAACAATGAAGCGTCGGGAAACCAGGAAGTGGACAGGCTAATTGCATTGTTCAGAGGATTCCTACAATTTCCAACTGTAAGGGAAAGCTTGAGCCTTATCGAAAACCTTTTCATATAGGAAGATCCGGTACCGCTAAGCCTAAATGGGTATGCGTAACACTTTGTTGAATGCCGAGTCTCTGTTCTCGGCGCTAAGTTGACTTACTGCTTTGCCTTCGTCAAACGGGCTGGCCTCTGAGCCACGTGACTGGCCTCGAGGCCCTTCCACCGTCAACTATATGTGATCAGCATGAGCACTAAGTCTTTGAGGATGTCCCGATGATCTGCTTAAGTATTAGGTTCTTCGTCTTGAGACACCACAATAAAGTCGGTTTGCAGAATATCAAGAACATAATGTTTATAACTCCAATTACCATAGGCATTTCCAAGACCTTGGTACATGTGAGTAAATGAAAAGAAAACACTCAAATTTCCACTTCAAATCTGTAAGAAACGATTCTGAACCAGCATGAATCCCTACTGACGTGATTTTAAATCCTGAATCTGCACCTTTAAATTGAACTAAATAAATAATCAAACACCGGCATTTGAATATCAATCGACTTCAAGTACTGAGTCAATACAAAGTTATAAAATGATCAGACAAATCGTTCTGATTCAAGCCCCAGCTATAGCTGCATTAATGGATCCACGGGAAGGTGTATTTTTACCGAATTCTTGCTTATGGTTTCTGCATAACCTCCAAATAGAATGAGTTCCCTTCCTGTTTGCTTGATTGTCTATGGAATGCACTCGGAGGAGAACCAGCTTCTACTGATCTGTTGCAGCAGAATAAAGTAATTTTCGGAATTTAGAAACAAGAGTTAGCTGAAAGGCGGAAATTCCATTCTTCAAGCTAGGTTGGCAGAAAAATGGACACCTGATAGACTCTAGAAAATGGTTAATCTGGATCGCTCGATTTCAAACAACTTCCACACCCCATTGGCACATCTTATCACCGACCTTTAGCCTCACGTCGCCTGAATAAGGGCAACAATTAATTTTATACAACTTAACTCATACAGCGTTTCATTGAATGCTGCACATCGACCTAGCAAAAAACATCCTGCTAAACGATTTCAAGCTCAACGGAAAGTATTCAAGCATTCATATCACAAAGAGGAACGACTAAATACAGTAAAACTCCCAATTTCTTTTTTGTTTTGAAGCAGTTGTGCATCTAAAATGAAGGTAGGAGACAAGTGGACGAACTGCAGCATCGTAGCGGGCTTCGCATTAAAGCTTCCCATCAGCTCAAAACACGGGTAATCTAGTCTCTCGAACACAAGAAGAGGTTCAAGTCCTGTGATCCAGCACTTTCTAGAAGCAGACTTGCAAGCAATACGAACAGAGTGTCCCCAACATTATTGGTGCGGAAATAAGGATGGTAAATGAGTGCAAATACAAATTCAAATTTTAAGAGAGAGATTAGTAATTAATTTCAGCAGCGTCGCAAACAAGGCACTGTTGTCGAAACACCACATTGAAGCTTAGAGGAGCAATCGAATTTGAGAATGCTTAAAATTACTGACACAACAGGTGATTGCAATGAATGTACCAACCTTAAGGTTTAATAATAACTGTTCCTTTAAACAGACGATGGCCTGGCACTGCGCATATCATGTCACTAAAAAACACAACTTGTCTAGGCAAGCTGACTTCCATTTGATAGACAGAGGTTCTTAAAAATTCGAAACAACAAGGTTTTGACAGCGATTGCCTCTGTCATAAAGCATAAAATAAAATTTACAACAGCTTGCGGTTTCTTATGATAAGCCAATTTGTAAATATGAGAAGTTCTGCAAACAAAAGTACATTTTTAGGTGACCTAGACATCGTTTTTATGTGCTTAGGTTATCTAAACTGGGCAACGAAAGATGTACTCTAACCGCTCCCTATAATTTTGGACTCTTCACTCCGACCATTCAGGTTCACAGACCGACTGTTTGTGCTGGTACAACAGAAGGTATATTTCTACATGAAATATAGGCCTTTTAGAAATTACTGTGTCCGATTGTTAACAAGGAAGGGTCTAGATTAAAACGGTCTACAATTAGAGTTAGATAATTGTTGCTTGCAGTGCGAGTGAAAGTTAATTAATTTTTGGAGGGATTTCGCTGCTGCCTAATTAACTACTGTACCCCTGCCACCTGATTACATTTGGATACGGATAGGAGCCAGCTCGGTTAAAGGCCTGCGCATTAATATAAGGCAGAAATAATCAAGTTTAACCAATTTCACATTCTTACATAAAATCCTGCATATTCATCAATTTTTCCAACATCACCGTTCTCGTAGGCGTTTGCGATTCGGGGCGTGGTTGGAACGCCTGGAACAAATCGCAGAGAAATATTTGAAATATTAAAAATTGATAAAAATTTGGTACTCAGATGGAATTCACAACGCACGAACTCCGTTTATTTACCTACTTAAATGTTCCTTCGTTGAGGCAAGACTGCCTCCCTTAAGAAAACGTCTAGTCTAGTAACGCAATAAGGCTTTTGATGTACTTATAGGTCATTTGATTTCAAAAATTTGTGTTTAAAAAATAGAATACGAAAAGTGTACCTTTGTCGAATGTCAACCAGATGTCGAGGAAAAGGAAATTTTTTGTTGGTCCCTGAGTTCCGACAATTTTGCCATTCCTCAATTTCACTTCTGCACCTAGAGCCACCCATGAGGGATGCCGAGACTTGGAGCAAAAATAAAAATATCATTCAAGTAGTTCAACATTTGTGAGAAGGGCAAATAATGCAAGAAATCGTGCTACATTGACCTAATAGTCGTGTACACATTCTCCATGTCTTACAAGCTAATCTTAACGGAATGAATCAACCTAGCAACGGCAGTTACAACTCACCGCAGCAACACCCTGCCGAACTTTCTTAATGGGAACGTAGAAGGCTCCAATGGTTCGACGACGAAGAAAACCTTTAAGTTGAACCTCCAGAAGGATGCCCCCTTCCACGTTGTCAAGTTCACTATAAAGAATGAGGATAGTAACACTTGATGACACAACAGAAATTAGCTCTGAATTAAAATCTTTCACATAATAAATAAGTCATAGCAGCTGAAACGTATTTCGTACCACCCCGATAAATGCCCACCGGACTAATTTGATAACTTATTAGATTTACATTTCATAAGCGATTCCGATGAGAAATTAGCGGACACAAGAATATTTTGCATAAAACATCTCTAATCGTTTTCCTTTTTTACATTTGAAATAATTTTCCTGTCATTTCACAACGTTAGCCACCTAACCTAACATGTCAATTAAGTTGGCCAAGTCTACTTTCGCACAACTCAAAATAGAGATACCTCGAAAAAATGCGCACATTTTTAAGCAAAGGAAATTCCAAAACTAGCAAAATCATACTATGAGAATTCCTCATTCCATATGGGGTTGCAGCCCGTTAATGTTCGAGTAAATGACTTCGCCCCATTGACGTCCAGCGCCACAAGCACAGCGACAGAATTGTTAAAGCCCTGCAGCCGTGCCTCTTTGACTGACGAGCAAAAATCGATTGCAACGAGTAAATAAATGCAAATGGTTGTCAGGTCAAATAAAACACCGACCAGCCCAGAAACGTAAACGTAAGAACCACATATGATAAACCTATCAATATATCACAAAAAAACCCCGTTCACTTTTTAAAGCACTGATAGATACAAGGAATACTATGGACTGTTGACAATGAATGGAAAACTCGAGTGTGATCACTTTAGACCCGATATCAAAAAATAAGCAGTTTATCAATGCCAAACAAAGTGATAATGAATTCTCATACAGGAAGATGCTAAAAGACTAACAGGATTATCGAACCAACACAACAGGTCAACACTTGTACTCATGATGATACACAATAAGCAATAATGGGAAAACTCAGGAATAAATACCATTATGAAAGTGTATAGGAATAAAATACCCTCCACTTGAAGTTCTGACTGTTCAAACTCACCTTCAATGCATAAAATGGGCATTATTGTCATAAAGACGCAACACACTCATCCCGACCTTATGTTACAGATCTAATCAAGCTCCCTCTAAAGGCATTGCAATAATAATAATTGGAATGAAACAAACAAAGTAAGGTCAAGCAAGTTTGGTAATCACTTATGAGAAATGAAGAAAAATCAGACAGGAAATTGCCTGCCATGTAAGATGATTTTAATAGAGTTTGGGCTGCGAAATCTAAAATAAACAAGAACAAAATTTAAAAATCATGTTTGTAAATTATTGTGAAATTTCCAGTCACTGCTTCAAAAAAAAATAAAATTGTATGCCTAAACATTTAGTAGATGCAGTTAAACTACTAAATATCTAAAGTGTTTATTATTCATCCAAAACCATCAACTTGTGCCTATCGATATATTTGCTGGCTGATACTTCAAAAAATGACATGTTACACTCAAAATTTCTGTTTAAGACCAAATGCGACGCAACACCAAGCATTTTTATTTTTCACATTAGACGCCATTTGAGCAGCTTAAGTAGTAGTAGCAATTTTCTACAAAATTTGGTTAATCTAGCTATTATCAAGACACCGCTTATGCAGTACAATTTGCTGCATAGTGAACATAAGTTAGCTCGACTCAGGTGACAAGTCTAGGCACGCCTGCAATTTTGCGCACGTCGAATGAGATGTATGCTTGTGTGTTTGATTTGTCCTCATAGAGGACAGGCTGTCGGTCGATTCAAACACCGTATGAGAGTAGGACGAGGATTTATTTTCGAAACGTAGCCTCTGCATGTAGGCTTTGTTTGGAACTCTAAATATTTTACAATCATGTATATGCTCAACGAATCTTCCTCAGAGCATCTTCCTTCAAAGAATTTCGCAATTGTGCCCGAGAAAAGCAAGCGGAAAGCGCCACGCTCTAAAGGGCTGCTTTATTATTTACCCTGAAGAGGAGCTTTAAGCTTTCTTTCGTGAACTCTTATAATCGTGGTAGGGGCAGGACAGCTATCGTTCTTTTACTGTTTTGCTGCAAATCCTAGCAGGAATTATTCAACAGTCACCTAAACATACCAAATTTTTAATGTTCTCAGACAAAAGATTCAAAAGATCATGGTCTGTGTTCTGCATGATTGTAATCATTCTTGCACTCCACAGGGGTTGGAGACAAACTAAACAATCTTGTACACGATTCTAAATTGCAAACGTTCAGGAACTTCAAAAAGTTAAGGCCCTTCCATCTCCTTTGCTTCTATGCTAATTATAAAAGCCCACGCAAGCATACATGAAGAGCTCTGAGATCAGGAAAATGTGTTGTGCAGAAACAAATACGAAAAGCACCCCTACAAACTATTTTGATTTTTAGCTGTGCAACGCTGTTTATGTGATTATCTGATGTCAGGTGGTCACTTTGGGATTCTTATTACCTTCGAAGCTTGTTGCTTTTGGAACAAGCCAAGGTCCAATCACTTCTTCTCGTTTTAAATACAGTTATTCGGCCCAATTTAATGCATCGTGAGAAGCCTTAGGGCCTACACCAACCGCATACGTTATATCACCTCCAGACATATGCTGTACAAAAAAATTTCCTACTCTCTAGACAAGTTCCATTGCCGAGCGAAGCGCCATATCTAGTATGAGGGTCAAGGAGGATGTGCGACATTGCGGTCAAGTATCATCTCAGTTCCATGAAAATGTGACACCCGATATAAATGGCTTGCGGATGGTTTTCTCCAGCGTCACTTCCATTTTGACGACTAGCAGAGAGGACTAACATAAGATGATGCTGAGGCTTGCGTAATATGTTTGCAGTTTGTTTAACCTTCTGTTACGATTGTGAGCACTGGTTCGGTAAATTTCGCCTTCAATATAAATGCTAGCTTGCATGTCATGCCATTATCCCAATCCCATCTGCATGCAGAACGAATGCAATTTGCTTAAGTTTTGTGCTATTTTATTAAAGAATAGTTTAATTTTCATGATGTGCTCCTACAGACAGTCCCAGCAACCCTTTGAAGATAGGCGAATCGAATTGCTGGAAAATATTAATTGCTAGCAATGGGCCAAAGGTTAGAACCTGTTTGGAAATATGAAACCGTTGATTCTGTCGATTTTAATTAGATGTTTGCACCCCTGTGCGACTTGATTTGTTGCTAACTTCGCGTTCTGAGGTATTTTATTTATTAAGAAGGCTTTTGCGAAACCGAAAGCATGTAGTTAAGGGGACGGTAGAGGATTGGACTTTGAAAATGGTTAGAAAGTCGGCTCACGCAAGGAAGGGTAAGACAAATGACAATGTAAACGCAAGACGCCTGGATGTAAAAATGTTATTGCAACATTTTTTACAATTTCTACACCGCTTTATGACTCTTACACCATATAAGAATTTTTCCGCTTGCTAATAATGCAGAATATATCGTCTATTCGGCTAGCTACTATCATAAAAGCCCCAGAACAATGCCCTCCATTAAATGTCCATTGACGCAAGAATAAACCAGTCACAAATTGCACAATTAATATTTAACATCAAATAAAGATGGTAGAGCAAGTAAACAATGTTTTTTAGTATTGGTACAACAGGTCATTTTTGCTACGTGTAACGTGTCGCTTTGATGCATTTTGGAAGTACATTTTGTTTTACATCGCGGTCATCTGGTAACGATGTCATCAATTAGTCATGCTTACGCAAAATGGCAATGTAGCTTCCCGGGACTTCTTAACCGGTATAAGAAGTAAGTGAAGCTGGCTACATGTATTCGGAAGACGACAGCGCAAACGGACCTGCAAAGGGCCTGAAGGCCAGCCCATGTTGCAAGGGCCAGGCAAATCCTAAAGTGACCGCCAAACGTCATGTGGTCACATAAACAAAGAATTACAGTTAATACTTCTATTTAGATTTGCTGTATTCGATTTTACTTGTTTCATTTAATTAAAATTTTATCAGTTGCTAAATAAATTTGTAAAATTTATTTGATTTAGACCATTGATCAAAGTCCCGTCGGGTCCTTAGGCTCTATACTATGTTATCGATATAAATGCGGCACGTTAGAGTCTTGATTTCTCGCTTTTATTTATAAACAGATGTTACTTTATACTGGTTGGGCGTACATCAAGGGCAATCTGGTGTGTGCGTCTTGTCTGTTATTGGAACAAATATATCGGGGAAGGTGGGTGTGGGGTAATATACGTACGATATGTGCATTTTTTAAAGCTCCCCGACGTTTCTTTGGGTTTTCTGACTGGCTTAGTTTATATTTACATTGTTACACTGCTTGGAGCCTTGGAATCTTGCAATTTTAAATGTACATTGGGGCCTCTTTCTTTTTTATCCCCTCCTGGCAGCTGCATTAGTCGTTTTTTAGTGATATGTCCTATTTGTGTCCAACATTTAGTGGGTTTATAGGTGATGCCAAAAGCGATGGGCATCGTAGAACATTGATGTTGTTCTGCTTGAACTGTTTCTCATTTATTAATCCTTTTGCTCTGTGCGGGCCATCTCAAGGCCATTGAGATTTATATCTTCAGAACCTGCGTGTTTATTATGTGAAGTCGTGTGTATTGGTTGTTTCTGATTTCGATGAATGACAGCACATGTAATAGCATACTATTATGGTGAGATTGTCATACATGCACTTAATTCCCATGAATTTGGGTTCCGATTTTCGAGTGCAGTGCTATTGTAGTAAAAATGGACTAAGTTTCACGTCACAGATTCAATTCCTCTCCAGAAGTTAGATGAATATTTCGGCTCCATCGGAAATGTAAAATCCTTCATGTTTTAACAGGCACTTTGTAAAGTTTATGAACTAGTATTTCTTGCATTATACCACGGAACTCGCTCCCATCTTGACTTCCACCTAGCCAGTGTTTCATCGATCGCCTTCTTGTGTATTTGTTATCATTCGCTTGTCATAACATTTCCTATGCTTTCGTTCAAAGTAGCATACAGTACGTTTCATTTTTGCGACGATTTTTTCCATTTCTTCATGCTTTTCACTGTCGCAAACTGACTAACTTTGACGGTAATCCTTTGGGATCTAAATGCCTACCGTTCCAAGTGTTATTGTGGGCCTATATTTAATTCTCCCAAGTTTATTATCATACATGAGTTGACGAACGAAATCGATGTATGTTTTATTCAAAAGTGGTTAGTCATTTATATTGTCAGGCTACGCTTTCTTTTAGTCCTAGATCATCCTACAGAACCCGCCAAATATGCTTTCGTAAAACGAAAGGAAGGTCATGGAATCACAAGCGAAGGCGCCACCACTGCCCCTGGATGTCTATGCTTCCAGCGCAGCTTCTGTTGCTAGTGTCCCTGCACAGGCTGTCTTCGTTCCGACCCAGCTCCCACCAAGACCCACCTCAAGCCCCTCTACTCTCCTGCCTCTGACTTCCATCTACACCTCAAATATGGCTGTCGAATCACAGACCTTCGAAGGGCAAGCGATTTCAAACGCGGAACCCAACGGCACTACAGCTGTGCGGATCCCTACAGAAAGCGGAGACGTTGGGAATGAACTCACTCCTATCCCTGTAGAAGATGGTGCTGTGGCACAGCTATTAGCCTCTGTAGAGCCAGTTGCCGAACTGATGGAATCTCAGTTTCAGCGAGAGCAAAATACTGCGAAACCAGAGAGGGAGAATGAAATTGAATATAAAGAGAAAAAAAAGGAAGTGGATACAGAACAGAAGGACCTAAGGTTGGACGAAAGCGTGACGGCTTCCAAAGAGCTCGAGACCGCTAGTATTGCCCCTCAGCCTCCTCCTCCTTCTTCGTCCCCTGTTACAGCAACTGTTGCAGCCGATATCGATGTTGCGGTAGCAGTGGTGGAAGAAAAATCAAAAAAGGCAGAGGATGATGAGGTTGGTGATACCGTTACTCAGCGTTCTTTTTCACCACCGAAGTCCAAGTCAGGACCCGTTGTTCGAGTTGTTCGCAAACGGAGGCGTGTCCTGTCGACGCTGCAAATGATGCGAAGCTACGCTGATACGCTGCAGCCGGTGGACTGTGTGATCCTCGTGGAGCGTTGTGCACCTTTCTCGAGAAACACAAGTTTCATGGAGTACTTCAAAACAGAATTCCTATCAAAAATTCTCAGGTGGGCCACGTCTAACGTGCATTGATGTTTCCAACTTTGGCTTAGGTTCTGGTTTTTTGCTCTCTCCTTGTG